AAAGACTGGAACCATTCTTGCTGTATTGCAAAAGCATAACATTTGCCAGATATTGTAAATGGTTTTTTAAACATCTGAAATTAATAAAAATAAACTAAAAATAGGCTATTTTTCAGGATTAAAATCAACATGTGCTTGTAATTAATTATTGTTTTAGTCTAGTATTGGGTAATGGGTGAATAATTACCAACTGCTCTCTCTCTAAAGTATATATGTGTATATGAACAATATTTTTTATTGGATTTATATGATCCTGATGTCTCTTAAATATCGCAAAGGAGTTATGTTTTGTGGATTCATATCGGTGGGAAATTATAAATTAAATAATCCTTGCATTTGATATAGAGCTTTATCACGTCATCAAAAAATCTCAAAGCACTTCAAAGGATTTACTGTAGTGACAGTAGCTGCACAGACATTCCACAGACTTGAGCAATGTGTGTTGAAGATTTTAAAATCAGAATATTTTGTGTAAAGTCAATATTGGACATTTTGCAGGGAAGCAAAAAAAGTGGCACATTTTGATTAAAGCTTATGACACATCATTTAGCTCTGTAGATCGTTTAATTTGTTTTAAGTTTGTTACAACAGGTGCCTTTGCCATGTGCTGCACAGACTGTGTTCTGTGTGGTCACCTTATTTGAGATGTTATGATGGTTATGATCGATTGTGGTTCCCGAAATATATGCTCAGGTTCTGACCAATAGAGCTGCCAAGTATTGGCCACAAAATATATAGTTAATTCACTTTGCAGTATATTCTGTGAAGCGCTTTGAGATGTCTCGAAGACGTGATCAGGTGCTATATCAAATGCAAAGATTATTTATTATTATTTGTTTATTATTACTGCAGGAGTACAAGCAAGAGGATTTGGCTTAAGGTTCTTTCTGTCAGAAGTTAGGTGTAGCCCAGCTACCCTGAGTTTATACAGAGATAACTGTTCAAGCCGATGTCTTACTTGATATACAAGAAAATTGTAATTGTCCTGGACAAGAGACAACTTTCTTCAGCTCAACGTGTGTAAAACTGAGGCCCTCCTGATTGGCTCGCGTCAGCGCTTCCCGCACCTCAGGCGCTGACACCATCAGCATTCAAGGCTGCACTCCACCTCTCAAAGCCAGTCAGGAACCTCGGGGTTCTGTTCGACCCTGAGCTGTCCTTTCTCCCTCATATCCGCGCCACAACTGGCACCGCCTTCCATCACCTCCGGAATGTCGCCAGACTACGGCACTACCTCACCCCTCACGCGGCTGAAAGTGCACCCTTCGGATTTCTTTATCACCTCAAGGCTGGACTATGGGAACTCTCTCCTCGTCGGCCTTCCCGCCACCTCCCTCCACATTGCAGGTCATTCAGAACTCTGCAGCTCATGTACTGTCCCGCACCAGGCTTCGGGACCACATCACTCCAACCCTCGCTCGCCTCCACTGGCTCCCCATCGCCCAGAGGATTGAGTTCAAGATCCTCATCCTCACCTACAAGGCCATTCACGGCCTTGCTCCCTCCTACCTCTCCAACCAACTATCCCCCTACTTACCTGCCCGTACCCTCCGTTCCTCTGGCTCCGGTCTGCTCCACATCCCCCGCCCCAACTGCCCTACCATTGGTGGCCGGGCCTTCAGCCTCTCAGCCCCGAGGCTCTGGAACTCTATCCCCAGTGCCTTCGCCGCCTCCTCACTTTCCTCCTTCAAGGCCGGTCTCAAGACCTTTCTCTTTGACCGAGCCTTCAGCTCCCCTCTCGACTCGCTACCCACTCCTCACTCCCTCCCTTCCCTCCCCTCACCATTTCCCCCCTGCTCGGATCCTGACCCAATTGTACAGCGCCTTGGGACGTCCTCCCGACGTGAAAGGCGCTCTATAAATGGAATCTTGTTGTTGTTGTTGTTACCAAAAACATACAGTCAAAAATCAGGCACCTTAGTTCTGAGACCTTTTAGCAGTTGCTAAAATGTTAGGAAACAAAAACACTTGATTTCAATTTTTATCTGGCATACTTGTCCATTCTCACCTCTCATTCTTTCCTTTACCTCATTACGCTGATTCCATTCCTTATTTAGTTATCTCTTCCTTTTTTGTTCTATATATTTTCATAGTAATAATATTAATTTTCATGCCCCACAATCTCAAATAAACCTTAGAATCCAGTGTTATTCAGTAATATGTTTTAACGGTATAGAGGCTCCCTTTTAAATTGGAGTCATAGGACTATTCAAAGACTTGATTCTATGCTACGCCAAGTGTGTGGATCTTGTCTAAGTTGTATTCCTTATGAAGGGATTCAGCACATGGCACAGGTTTGATACTGCTGCAAATGCACACTACCGTAAAACTCACTGATGCAAAAAAAGAAGAGGACCTTTGTCCTGCTCTAACCACAAAAGAGTCCTAAGAGCATTTGGGAGTGCTGTACATGTCACTGTGAAAGATGTGACTCTGTAGCCTACTGACACTGTGTGTGGCCAGGCGTCCCTGGTGCTAACAAGAAAATTGTCAGGAACAGTGCAGAAATTATACCTCGTTTTTAACATTCATAAAGTAGCACAAGTGAAGCAGTGCAGAACATGTAGATTTAACCCCAAGGGCTCATAATAATATAAAATTGGGCCAATGTTCTTTATTGCTTTATTTTTCTATTCAGTTCCATCTCTCTTTCTGTGACAGTTTCAAAAGTAAGTGCACTATGTAAGGATCACTACATACTATATTCTACACTCCTCACTTGATATACCCCCCCCACCCACTTTCTGCTATCCAAGTCTGGAAAGATTATTTTTCTATTTCTCATTGTCTCACTGACATGTCTTCAAGTTTCTAATTGATGGGTCAATTCTGGAAGTCCAGTACTGCATTTGAATCTGTGTTTTCTGTACTGGATTGAAATGTACGTTATGAATTACAGTAATTGTGCTGAAAATAGTTAATTTGATAAATGCAGAAACATCTGATCCAGGATGTTACAAAGTAGCAATGGTATAGAAGGATTCAGAAGATGTCATGAAAGGTTTATCAAAGTTGTTTCAGCTTTGTCATATCTTATCACTATTACTACACACACCTTATCATTTTAATATGTTTCTTACTATCATATATCTGGCTTTTATTTTCAGTGTTGGGGCAAATGGCAATTGATAATCATCTCCAACTTGTATAATCATAAGAATAATAATCCTTACATTCGATATAGTGCCTATTCACATTGAGAAAACACCTCAAAGCATTTCACAGGATATACTGTAAAGAATTTTCTATTCTGTAGGCAAATGTGACAGCCTATTTGCATACAGCCATGTCCCACAAATAGCCATAAAGTGAATACCCAATTTTACCCAGAGGCTTATTGGCCAGGATACCAGCAGAAACTCTTTTCTTTTTCCGAGTTGTATCCAAGGATTCTTAATGCCAACCTGAACAAGCATGGACAGGAATCTGTTTAATGTTTGACGTGAAGGATGGCACCTCCAATAATGCAGCAAACCCTCAGCACTGCACTGGATTTTAAGTCTTATAATAATAAATAATAATTCTTGTATTTGATATAGTGCCTTATCATCTCTTCGAGATGTCTCAAAGTGCTTCACAGAATATACTGTAAAGTGAATTGACTGTATATCTTATGGGCGAAATGCAGCAGCCAATTGCATACAGTAGTTTTACACAAACAGTCGTGGATTGAGTGACAAAATTATTATTATTTATTTTGAAGGGATTATTACCCATGGAAAAGCGATCCACCAATTGATTAACAACCGGGTTCCTACTTACTGCTAGGTAAACAGAGACGTGTGGAGTAAGAAACGTTGCCCAAAACATTTTGCCCTGCCAAGAATCGAACCCAGGTCCTCTCGATGGCAAGATGACTGCGCTAACCACTGAGCTATAAGACTCCACAAATGACTATGAGTTCAAAGTTCTACAGGGATCCAAAGAGCTATTAGAGCATCTGGTTGAGGAGGGAGGTATGCAACTGGGGCTTGAACCCACAGCCTTCTGACTCACATGCTAGAGAAGTGTATTAGTTAGCTACCAACTGAGTCAGGCAGACACACCATTGGTGATGATTTGTTCAAAAGTGACACATGGGTGCCAACAATCTATCTCTTGAATTTCCATGTGTAGGTGGGATGCATGGAATTCACAGTTTGGTTTGGATACTCTTGGATAAGCATGGCGATGAGTTTTCGCAAGTGTCAGACACCCAGCTGACCAAAAAAAAACGTGACCAGTTGATTTAGGGACTAACAATGATCTTATATGCTACAAAGTTTAAAGGCCAAGGCACTGGACTCTTGTAAGACGCAGTTTTATGCCATAATGAGATGCTAAGAGTTGATAATCTAGAAGGATAAATTCAAATGGGTCGAAGGGGATTCTTTATCTGAATCTCTGGGGATCCAAAGAGCTATTAGAGCATCTGGTTGAGGAGGGAGGTATGCAATTAAATTCTGAATGAGATTCATTGCACAACTTCCCAAACCCTGGGTCTTAAGACAAGCTCACTCTAAAGAGGTAGGACAGTAGTAGGAAGCAAATGCTGTTTTATAGCTCTTGGCAAAGCTAGACCAGATGCCAGCCTTTGCTATTCTACCTGAGCTGCTCTTTAACAAGAAGCTGCTCTTTAACTCTGTTTCCCCTGCACAGTGAAGTGTTTTAATGAGAGAGAATCAGAACTATAACAATACAGGGTTAATAGAGGAAACTGGTGTCGTTTTCAGTAGTTGAAGGCAGTCAAGTGTTATTCAACTACACAACTGATAGGGAAGATCACTCTGGTCTGAACACACACACACACATACACACACACACATATTATACACATACACACACACACATACACACACACACACACGTTGTTCCTTGTCATGGAAATGCTAATGTGGGAATGTTTGTGAGCCCTCTGCAGGATTATTGCGATCTGACACAAGCCTTGGGGTGAGGGTGTGGGAATTGCTTGGGACAAGACTGAGAGTGAGTGAGTGTGTGAGTGAGTGACTGAGTGAGTGTGTGAGTGAGTGAGTGAGTGTGTGTGTGTTTGCTGACTTTCTGCTGCTTTTTGATGGGCTTGAATCAGCCAGGAGAGAGCTGTTCCTGGGAAATTCCTGGAATTTAAGTAGGAAACGAAAGCAGTGAAGCTGTCCAGTCTATTCATCATGGATCTCCTCTGGTTCCTGCTGCCCCTCGTCTCATCCAGTCCCTGTTACTTCTTTGGGATGTCTCTGCTGCTCAGTGTGGACACATCATCTGCACAGTTTGGTAAGATCAACTTCTGTCCTAGACGAATGTTCCTCTTGTACAAGTTTATTTATTTGTTTGTTTTGTTTAAACAAAAACACACACACACACACACAGACACACACACTAAGTTTGGCAGCTGTAATTTTTTTTCACAGGCAGACACCACTGTGTGGGAATAAGGTTATCACTTAAGTTTTGTGTTGTTAATAATATTGGGTTCCACCCCCACCAAAAAAAAGTGCCTGAAGCTGTCCTGATAGGAGAGTTGGAAGCTGTGCATTTCTGTGGGTCTGTGTGTTGTGACTTTTTGTCACATTAGTGTTTTTTTTTGTCTCTGAGCACTTTTTTGGGAGCACAAATGTTATGGTGTTTAGTTGGTGTGTGTTTGGTGGTGGTGGGGGGGGGGGGGTGTAGGGGGTCAGCCAACTGAATAGGGGGGAAAAGTTGAAAAGGCATAAAAAGGTTAAAGAGTAAAGTGTATGTGGGGTTTTTCAATATAAAAAGGTCCATCTGAAAGGTGTTCCATTTCAATGGGGGAAGGGGTGGGTAGGGGGGGCATTGCCAGCTGCCTTTCATCAGGTAGTTTTATTTTTTGTTTTTTGATTTTATTGCCAGTGGAGCAGTTTTCTAGATTTCTACACTGACCAGAACCTAAAGCAAAGGCTTCGCTTTGTAATGTGAGGACATGAAGTGACTATGATATCATCCCCCCCCCCCCCCCCCCACACACACACACACACACACTACCCACAAAAAAAGGTGTTTGTTTTAGGAAAGGATGTGGCTGGTGTCAATTTCAGAAAATTGAGAAAATTTACAAAAGTACCAGCAGTGAGTCAGAGGTTATAACCAGCGCTCTGGGGCGCTAGCCTGTGTGGGGGGTGCTGCACAAATGCAAGTTGTTGTTTCTGTTGTTGTTGTCCTCCCCTGCACTCTTGTTCATTAAATAAATCTAGCACAAATGTCACACGCCGCTATTTTGCGTGCTGCCTTCATCTAAAAGACTTTTGAACATCCAAATCAACCCAATTCAGTTGAAAGAACTGTAGGACTTTCGAATTACAGTGATGTATTTGTTGCTGAAACTTTCCATGTTGCTGTAATATTCCGTGTGTCCTGGGACTCAGTAAGGAACAAGGTACAGTAGTAGAGACCTTTTTTTTTACACACAAGCGCTAACTTTTTTTTCAAAAGAGATATTGTGGGCCGGGCAAGATGGCTTACCTCTGATATTATTCTAATTCAGATTTGTTTTGAACTTATAATTTAAATGTGAATTATTAATAGCATACTCTCTGCTGAGCAGCAATCTACTGTAAACATCTTCAGCCAAGAAGCTACGCATAATTCACCTCTGTCTGCAGAAATGGAGATATGCAGCCAGTGTCACTTGTGAAGAGATGTTTATCATATTCGCTGCTGGTTTGACATATCTTGTTGATACACACAGCAGGACATCATAAAACATGTGTAATACTTGGCCTACGGAAGAAAGCCAATTGTTTCTTTTCATGATTTGCGTTCAAAATACAGTTAATCCACTTTACCCTATATTCTGTGAAGCTCTTTGAGATGTCTCAATGACATGATAAGGCATTATATCAAATGCAAGGATTATTACTATTGTTATTAATAATTTAAAAAAACTCAAAATATTTGCCTTAATGATTCTCATACATAATCTATGAAGAGGCATACACAGCTATCAACCCATTTAGCAAAGAATATGGTTTAAGATACTACCATTTTTAATGGGATTTCTTAATAGGGAAATCAGAAAAATGTCACATTGACTTGTGGGAATTCTGCTCTGATACAATCTACTTTCAGAGTGGAGTTCCCGTGGGTCAGCATGACATACTTTTAGTTATTGAAAGGAGTCCCCACTCGATTTCCTTATGAAATAATACCATTAATAATGGCACATGCTAGACCTCTGTCATCTACTAAAAACACTGTACTTTCCCATGCTTAACAGAACACTAACGATTTACATTCAATAACACCTTTCATGTCAGGAGGATGTTTCAAATCCTCCACACACGGCTGATTGGAAACTTGAGCTGGGAGATGGGAGTGTGGGAGGGAGGGAGGGAGGGGGGGGTCTAAGAGAAGCGGAAAATAATGGGGAAGACAATTTGTAGGGTAAGCTACCTGCAACTACAACACCAGAGTTGTACATATTTTAGTGTTTTATCTTCCGAAGTACAGCACAATGATCCATGTGCAGACAGGAAAGATTTGAAATTAGCTGAGGAAGTAGGTTTTCTGTTACTGATTTTCAGCTTCAAAAGATTTGGGCAACAAAGTAAGCGGTCACTTATGGTAGCTATTGGATGAGTAGATGTCTCAAATATCAGGTCACCAATAGGTGATTGCTTTGTTTTTCAATGTTTATTTTCTGATTGTTTATCACTTGGAGAGGACTGGCGAGCAGTAAGGTGATGGGAGGATAGTAAGAGTAAGTAACTCTCTCCTCGCCGGCCTTCCCGGCACCTCCCTCCACAAGCTGCAGGTCATCCAGAACTCTGCAGCTCGTGTACTGTCCCGCACCAGGCTTCGGGACCACATCACTCCCACCCTCGCTCGCCTCCACTGGCTCCCCATCCCCCAGAGGATCGATTTCAAGATCCTCATCCTCACCTACAAGGCCATTCACGGCCTTGCTCCCTCCTACCTCTCCGACCTACTATCCCCCTACCTACCTGCCCGTACCCTCCGTTCCTCTGGCTTCGGTCTGCTCCACACCCCGCGCCCCAACCGCCCTACCATCGGTGGCCGGGCCTTCAGCCTCTCAGCCCCTAGGCTTTGGAACTCTATCCCCCAGTGCCTTCGCCGCCTCCTCGCTTTCCTCCTTCAAGGCCGATCTCAAGACCTTTCTCTTTGACCGAGCCTTCGGCTCCCCTCTCGACTGTCTACCCCCTCCTCGCTCCCTCCCTTCCCTCACCCTGACCATTTCCCCCCTGCTCGGGTCCTGACCCAACTGTACAGCGCCTTGGGACGTCCTCCTGACGTGAAAAGCGCTCTATAAATGGAATCTTGTTGTTGTTGTTGTTGTAAGAGCTGAGAGAAGTAGCAATAACAGTGAGGAAAGATAGTGATTTTTTGGGAGGTCAGCTAGGTGTCTGATACATGCGGAAAACCATCACCATGCTTAAGAGTACCCAAGCTTAGGGTTCCATGCATCCCATCTACATGTGGAAATTCCAGAGATAGATTTTTGGAATGCGCACTCTCTCTCTGGAGGGACACATCCTGCTTCTCCAATTCCGGAAAGTATTAGGCACAGATTGGCAAGAGCCAAGGCTTGGGGAGCCCAGAGTGTGCGTTGGGATACTGTTGGAGTCTAACCAGCTAAAACCGCATAGCTAGTCATTGTTGTTACTGTCTGGCAAGCTTTCCCGCTGCTTGTGCAGCTAGAACCACCCTACCGAATTAGGTCTTTGGTTTACAGGGTTAACAGGAGCTGAGTGGGACAACTCCCTGCCCCCAGTGACTGGTCTGCCCTTCCAGGTCTGATGAGCCAGGCTGGTTGTGCTGTCATCAGCAATGCCCTGGAATACTGTGGACCCACCTGGCTCAGGAACTGGACTATCGAGATGCCACAGAGTTCTGGCTCGATTCCGACATTCTGCTGCCGGGCATGTCACCCATTTCAGCTTTGAGGCAATTCCGCTTACCTCCCCCCAACGAGGATAGCCACCCGTTCTTTGTTCGACATAGGTCAAGCGTGGGTTTGATCCCTCACTAGGTGGATGGTAGGTACAAGGAACTCCCGGCGAGCTTCCCAGTGGGCAACACATCTCAGCATGAAATGGTGAGAGCATTGCCACTATCTTCCTGTCCACAGCCCGGACACACGTCCCTTCCCACTGAGCGATGGTTCCACCAATTGGAGGTACAGAGTTTAAGCAGCAGGTGCTTACCTCTCTGCAGACCAATCAAGTTGGATTACAGGTGCTGAATGTATGGACGCACGTTCACGAACAAGTGCTCCAGGTATCGCCTTCCAGCAGTTGTCACCCCAAGCCTCAGAGTTTGCTCATCAGAATGAATGAGGCAATATTTTAGAAAATCTGAGCCTGACCAATGCAACAATAAATCTGCACACAATGCTTAAGGCAGAGTACAATTGTCACACTCATTTATCCCTGAATTTCAGAGACTGCAACTGCATATTTATAGTTGAAAACCATTTCCAGTAAATATTCTCCATTGCCAGCTGTTAGTCCCACTGCTATAAAAGCCTTTCCCTTTACAATCAGGGTCTTTCCAACAAACAGCAGTGTTGATTTCATACATTGGCACGACCTTCCAGAGTGGCTGGGCCTGGGAACACTCACTGAACCAGTTTACACATGAAGATTAATGATTTAGACAAGGTATTGCAGGATTTTCCATTGACAACTCCAGGATATTGTATCCAGGATTTGTCAATGCTTCAAGAAAAGTGACAAATTGGGTTTAAACTTTATTTATTCATCAGCCAAAAGATGAAAATGAGAAAAATGAGGCAACCAGACAGGCAGGAAAGGACATCTCTGTCACAAGTAAAAGAATATCAACACTACACGATCTAACTGAGAAGTTATAGGATACAGCAAAGATAATGAACTATGTCTCCAACATCAAGCCCAACACCAACATCAGGATCCTTTAAAAAAAACTCCGGAAGTGAAAAGTCACATCCACAACGTTGGATGAGGCAGGGCTGTGGAACGCCATGTTTGCTGCAAAGACAGCTGAAATCAAAACTCTAGTGTAGCACAAGGCTTCAGAGAGTGTCGTGTTACAGGTTCAAATCCGAGTTATCTGATCTTGGGGTCAACAGTTTCAACCCTACAATTAAACTCAGCACCCCAGGGGAAGGGAGAGGAAAGTCTGCCAGGAGTCCCCTTCCAGATTACTATCCAGACACATCAGTGTCAGGCTCCTCCACGATTCCCACCCATATCATTGAATAACCTCCCAACACCCACTGTCAAGGCTTACACTGTCAGAAGGTGATGGATGCTCAT